CCCCAACCCCCCCCCCCCCCCCCCCACGCTCTCTATAAACCTAACGCTGCTTCCGAGAAGATGTAGAAAGGCGATGATGCTAGTTTTCCCCTCCTTCTTTCTTCTTTCTTTCCCTTTTCTTCTTTTTTTCCCCTTTCTTTCCCTCTTTGTATTTTGTCGTTTAGGGTTTTGTTTGTATAAAATAAAAATGGGTTCCATATAGTGCTAATTAATGTTCCACTAAGTTCAAATTGCAATCAAGCCCCTCATTTTCTATTTTATATAACATTTAGTAGTTAACTTCCCATAATTGAAAATTAAACACCAAAATTTTATTTTATTCGTCTTAACCCTCTATTCAATACTTATTTTCTTCTTTGTGAATAATTGTTTGACATCTTATGTTAGTAAAAAAATTGAAGCTTGAAAGACGTACCCGTGTCCAAAATTTGGATTCTTTTTAGCCATGTCTCCATATCTTACATTTTAGAAAATAAAATATTCGACATTTAGATACGTACCAGTACCCGATATCCGTACCCAAGTCTGAACATCATAGTATGAGATCAGTTGCTCTTTGATAATTGTTAATTTTGAATAACATATCTGAACTAGTAAGAAATGAAAATATCATAATTTATATCTTTTTCTTATGAGATTTCTACAAAATCATTTAGCGTCTGCTTTTACGAGATGTCTTGTGCTCTTACACTTTCACGGGATGGTATGGCACGTTCAAGATGTTACACACGTACATGCATGCATAGAAACACTTCCATCTATCAAATGTGACCTAGCACTTTTTCCCAGAGCGAAAAAAAAAAATAAAAAATAAAAAATAAAAAATTTATCATCATCAATCTTTTGGGTTCTGCTAATCACATTCTTCTTACAATCTTTGCCCAAGGGTAAGCTGATGTTGATATTTCCTTCTGCATATATAAGAATGGTGGGGGATAGTTATTTCCTGTTGTGGAAAAACTGTGTCAAAAATTCTTACCGATAAGTAGATAAATTAACAAATGTGTTGCATACTAGAAGACAGCATGCTCAGAAGAAGTATTTGTTCTACAAGGTGTGCTCAAGTAGTTGCTCCTCCCTTCTTTGATTATCTGTGAGGACATTTGTTATCACGTGCTTCGTGATACCAGTTTTAAGCTTGTTATATCGCTCTGAGTTTTTGACAAAGCATAAAATGACATTAGGCATCTATAATTTTTTTTTTTTTCCTTGGGATCTATGGATGTTGCGAACCTTTAAGGAGTGACACTCTTTACCATAATCAAACTTGTATTGAAATAACTATTAAAACATTGTTTGCGCATGGTACTAAGTCTACATATATATTCTATTGGGCATAGTCCCAAAGCAGGATTGCTTAGTCATTAACATTACTTCATCCAATTGTGTTTGGTTTCCCCTTTTTGTTTTCACTATTTCAGTTTTTGTTTGATAAATCCATTTGGAAAATGAGTAAGGTGAATGGTTTGATTCGTGGTAGTTTTAGAACATAAAGTATAGGTTAAAAAATCATTAACTAGAGGTCCTTAGATCAAACTTGGCAGGAGTTAAATTTTTCCGAGGAACGGATACAATCTTCAGATGCATTGGTGGAGATGAGTCAGGGACAATGGGAAGGATGCCACCGAACCGAAATTTTAACCCCTGAAACAATGAGCTTCATGGAGAGATTCCAGCCTGATTTTTCTGCTCCGTCTGGAGAATCACTGAGGCAGGTGGAATTCCGGATGGTTCAGTTCCTAAATGGTACAGTTTTGGCAATGCCTGAAAAATATAGATCCATTTTCTCCCCGCCAGAACAGAGTGAGAACCCGATATCTCAAAACCACAGTTCTCATGCTCCTGCAAATTTAATTCCTGACCAAGATGGGCCATCTCTCCCTCCACACCATTGGGATTTGCTTCACAGAAATCGACAAGGGCTTTTAATGAAGAAATCCGTTAAGAGCAGGCTTCAGATCGTGACTACTACTGGGGACAATGAGGCTGATGACGAGATGACTCCTCGAGTACCCATTAATGAGGGGTTGATTCGTGACATAAATGTCAGGAGCACCCCTTCTTCCACATCTTCGTGTGTTGGTTTTTTCACCCATTCGGTCCCTATCAAGTGCCTCCTGACCGGCATCCTTGGCTGCAGTCCAGCAATGTCACATAAGATTTGCATAGAAGATTCATCAGTCACAGTTCTACAACACACGTGGAAACTCGGTTGGCAAATCAAGAGATCAAATGATACTTCACATCTCAGGCTTCTGTAATGATATTATAAGATTCTTTTCTGTAGAAACTGAGGAGAACGTGCAGTCACTTATCCGGGGTGTAAGATTTAACATCACATGTACATGTGGTTGTGTTTTTGTTACTTGTAACCTTATTTATATTTATTTCCAGTTGAAAGATAGTGATGCTGGAGTCGGGATTGTGGTCCTGAGTGATTCTTTTGATATGTAGCATTCACATTCACATGGTGATTCTTATTATATAATTCCCAATTTGAAAGGATAATAAGGTGATGCCGAGTTTTTTTTCTGAAGCAGCCTTTGGCCTTGCACTTATTTTTGGGTACGAGAAGCACAAAAGTACAATGAGCTCAATTTATTACTCAACTAATTTATACAAACGTAGAATCGCCAGCCAGGGTTGTGTTTAATGCCCTCACACAGTCAGTACTTCCCCAACTTTATTCATAAGGTAGCAAGGCTATTTATGGGTCACAACTTGCTGATTCGGTTAACTACTATATGGAAAATTGACCGTTAAGAGCATTTTGAAGAAGAAGTAAGAACACCTTATGTATTATAGCAAGCATCTTTAAATTTACGGAATCGAAATTTTTATGCACTCCAACAATTTTCTCTATTTTGATTCTTCATTTTGCTTGTCTCAAAATAATATATTGATTTCTCCTCATATTTTATTTAGCATAAATTTAAATCTGTTAATCACAAATCAATTTTTTAAGAAGTATGGTATTGAAATCTATGACTTATTAAGAGCTTGATTGGATATATTTTATGCCAATTAAAATCATTTTTTTGACCGTTATTTCACTATTTCAGACGTCATTTTTGAATTATTCTCTAACATGTAGGATGCACTTTATCTCTAACAATCAAAAAATCAATTCTCAAAATCCCTACCAAACAAGTACTAAATGCAGTTATTCTACATGAAGCCCGTGTTTGATCCCCATTCTTTGGTAAAAATACATTTTTAACAGTGTTTTGACATCATTTCAACCACACATTTTTCAATAAAATAATATTACACACAAATCTAAAACATTTTCTTATTTTTTAACCACACATTTCACATCAATACACTATTCAAAAATTCATTCTATCCCCAAAATGGGGGCTCAAACAAAGGCTAAGAATATAGAGTGAGTTTGACTCTCTAAATTTAAAGAGTCAAGTCCTTTTTCTATTTTAAAAGTTAAAATAGAAAGTTTGTTGAAACTTATTTTTAAGTTTTTTAAAATAAAGAGTATTTTATATTTAAAGATTCTTTCGGAGATACTCTAAAACTAATTGATAAATAATCGTTTTAAACAAATCATACAAAGAAATACGTGTAAAAACAAAACAAGTACAAACCTAATTAAAAAATAACATCATTGGTCTCCAATTCTCAATAATAATTGCCCTTGTTTGAGTACCAATTTTTAAAAAATTTATTTTTCCAAAACTCATATTCAATCACACATTCTTCAATAAAATAATTTTACACGTAAATCGAAAAAAATTCTTACTTTCTAATAACACATTTTCCAAAAAGTCACTATTCAAAAATACATTTTCTCTTCAAAATGAAGCTCAAACAAGGTAACATATGAGTATGACTAATTAAAATAAAGTACACGATTAAGTAAATGGAATACAAAAGAGGGATCGTTTGGACTGCACCACTAAAGCTATTGATGTCTGTTAGTGAAAGATTCGATCATTAAAAGCATCTTCAAGAGATAATTAATTTATAAAGAGCATCTTACATATTAATATTATAAATAGCATCTTTAAATTTGAAGAGTCAAAATTTTTATATACTCCAATAAGCTCTCTCTTTTTTTATATTTCACTTAACATAATTGTTTATATATCAATTTGCCAATCAATTTTATGTGGCTTGAATAATTCAAAAACTAGAGCATTAAAATATGAAATTTATTAAATGCAATTATTATATATTAAGAATAAAGAGCGAGTTTTGCTCTATAAATTTGGAGTAAACACTCTATATTAAAAAAGTTAAAAATAGAAATTAAAGAGTATTTTATATTTAGAGAGTCTCTTGAATATGTTTGAAGTAGGAAGTCATTACATTAAATTGGTTATTTTGACAATTTTTTCATGTCGTCCTATATAATCTTTTTAGTCCATACTCATATAATGACATAATAGTATGTTCAACTAAAAGTTGTAATTTTAACAGAAGATTTGTCGATCTCAAATTCAAAATAATCTCGTTGTCAGCAGATTTATTGCCGCCCATATATACCTGTCCACTTGGACACCGTTAGTGAGATAATAAAAATTCAATAAATTTATTTGTACATCCGGGGTTGATACGCGTGGGAAAGACAAATATACCTGCTTTAACACATGTCACCTAACTATTGGTTTAGTGTAGTCATCATTGTGAGATTGTTTCCTTAATAACGGAATGTTATTTTTCCATATCTCCTATGATTTTGCGATTGATGTTAAGGGATTGATATGGTTTTTATGAAATAAATCCCAGTAGAACTATGCTCGAATTTCCAAAACTGTAATAAACCACAAGGCTTTGCCCAGTAGACCCTTTTCTACTGAACTGAAGGTAGTCACTTGTATTTGGTCCCATGGAAGGTTCACTTAAAGGTGTTCATCCCCATGCAAGGACTTTGGAAGCTACATGGTGACAGTGTGATAAGCGATTTTTTACTTAATTTAGGGTGTATTTAATTGTAAGCATAGATTTTCATGAAAAGAAAATAAATTCTAGACAATTCAATTGATTAGAATTTATTTACATGAAAATTGTTAATTAAACGTGTTTAATTGATTTAGTTTTCAACCTAAAAAATATTATGCTTGTTCATTTTTTATTGATGGGCAGATGAGAGAGTGAATTTCTTGAAAAATAAAATCCTACTCCTACTACAGAAAATATTTTTATTGATTTTGAGGAAAATATGATCACGTGACAAAAAGTAGAAAAATATTTTTCATGAAAAAAATGTCAATCAAACAACACAAAAGTAAGAATTTGGATTGAAAAATATTGACAATCAGACGCACACTTAGTGTAATTATGTTAGTCATAGATAAAACTCGGAGTTGTATATATTTGGCGAGAAAAATATGTTTTTGAACTTAATTGGATTTGTTCCAGAGTGTAAAGACTAACCAAGTTGCAAAGGATCAATAAGAAGAATTAAGAGACAATCGAAAGAAACTCACAAGTTTCGAGATTAAAATTCAATTTTTTGTAAGCTTGAAGATTAAATTACGCTCTTTTAGAACTTATGATAGATGAATTTCAAATTATTATGGAGCTTTGATGACCAATATGGAAGCCTTTGAAAGTTGCGGCATCAGAATTGAAAGTTAAAACAAGGACCAAAATCAGCCAAAAATTTTATTTAGGGAACAATTTGTAACTTTCTGAAAAATTTGGTGTCGACCGCCTTCAACCTGGAACACAATCTGGTGTGGTCCATGTTCACCGTGGTTCAAGGCTGCTTGGCCGATCCCTTTACTTTTTAATGTCGTTTTCTTTCATTTTTCTTTTCTTGATTCGTTTTGACCACTTTCAAATCACAACTCTCAAAATTCTTTTTCCCATATAAGTGCCTGTTTGATCCACTTTAAAATTTTAAATTATTTGTTATAATGTCTTTCTCCACCATACATTCACACAATAAAATATTTTACACACAAACCAATAATTTTTTATTTTTATTTTTTAATCACATATTCTTCAAAAAATACTATTTAAAACTTTTTAATTTTCCAAATAATAAATGACAAATAGGGCCAAATAATCTGTTTAAGTTAGAAAAGGGGAGTTACACTATATATATATATATATATATATATATATATATATATATTGTATTAACTACGTAAATTATTACGAATTGATTGTTTTTTTGTGATATACAATGAATGTTGATCTTATTGCGACCACAAAATTGTACGATCTTTAGGTTATCGATCTAATTGTTTGAAGATGAATGGTTGTGGCTCGAATCTTGGGTTTCAAGGGTATTAAATTTTGATCTGTAGTGAACTTGACTTACTTGACCTAAAAATTGAGTTGGACTTTTGAACTTGGATTTGAATTTCGGGGCTTGAATTTGAATTTGCTTTGGTTTTGATCTCTTGGACTTGACTTGAACTTGATATATAAAAAAAAAAAAAAAAAAAAAAAACACTTTGATCATCTTGAAATTTTTCGAACTTGAACTTCAGATATTTCTTCTCTTCTTACAAACTTTGAATTTTATCCTAGATTTATTTCTTCTATACAATCTCTATAAATCAATATATAGAAACAATATCTTTGTTCAATCTAGTTATAGTGATGGACTCAATTATAGGTTCAGTAAAAGAGGGGACACATGTCAATATATGATCGAACAGAAAAAGTAAAATAAAAACCAACTCCCAATCACTGCCTACCACACCACTCTATCACCTCCATCATTGTTACTAACCCTGGCCAAGTATCATTATTTCATCTTTGTTTTCTAAGTCCTTGCTCATCATGTAGAAACATACAAAATTCTACTTTTAGCCTTGTCCAAGTTGTAGTCAAATCAAACCTTGCTCATCAAATGTGCGTGAAACAACTACCAAGGCATAGCAATGATAAACTAAAATGGAAGCTTGAAGGGCAAAGGAAGGAAATTGTTATGAAAGATAAGAAGAATGGTGTATCCCCCGCTTCATCATCATGAAGGTTAGTTCTTGGAATATAAGGGGCTTGAACCTGCCCCTTAAATAAAATGGGGTTTGAAACTTTATGAAGCAACATGATATTGATGTCATGGGTATTTTGGAATCAAAGTTGGATGTGGTGAAATTAAACTGGATTATGCCAAACAAATTAGGAAATTATTTGCAATGCAATAATTTTCATACTCATCAAAATGGAAGGATTATGATTTGTGGAATCCAATGAAAGTTGAACTTGAAGTATTGGAGACGACGCCTCAAGTCATCCATTGCTTCGCTACTTGTAAGGTAACATTACTTACCTTTCTTGTTAATTTTGTTTATACTTATCATACTATTGTGAGTCGTAAGCCTTGTAAAGAATTTCGATTGATTTGTAAACTAAATTTGTAGTAAAAATGACAACACACAATGAAAACAGAAAAATAACACAAGAACACCGAATTGTTGACCCAGTTCAGCCATGAATAGGTCTAATCTAGGGGGGTTAGGGACAGCCCGTTCCACTTATGGCACAATCTACCTTTCAAGAGAGCAATAGTACATCAAGAACCACTCAAATCTTAC